AAGAATAATGATGAAATCTGTGAAACACTTCATAACATGGATGAAACTGGAAGACATCAGGCAGAGTGAAACCGTTGTTGTTAAGTGCCATTCAGTCTATTCTGAGTCATAGAGACCCTGTATCGTGTTTCCAAGGAGTGACTGGTGAGGTTTGAATTGCCATACCTTGTGGTTCAACCCAACCTTGTGATACAGTGCATTATACTGCAGCACCACATCAGGACAAGCACTGTATGAGACCATTATTATAAAAATTTAAGAAAATGTTTCCATACTAAAAGAAACATTCTTTGATGGTTACCAGGAGTGGGAGAAAAGGGAGAGTAATTCACTCACTAGAAGGTAGATACTTGTTAACTTGGGTGACAGGCATATATACAATACTCAATATACAAGAAAAGGAAGGGTGATAGAAGACTGATGATGATAGATGAAGACATAGGGAGGTATGCAGGGGTTAAAGTGAATAGAGATAAATAGTGATATATACATAATCTTGGAACAACAGCATTCTGTGTGTAGATACATAGATTGTGACATAGGCTGAATGGATAAGGGAGGAAGAGTGTAATGTATGCATATTTATATCTCTCACAAATATGTGAGTTTGAAAGAAAATATTTGTACATGAATATTTAACTTTCCTTAGGCATAACTATGGATGTGGTGGACATATAGTGAACAAAATGATGAAAAAAATCCTAAATATTATCAAATATCTTAAGGCAGAGAGTTCCTGGGCCTAGGAGCCAAGACCAAAGTCTTAGGAGGGAACCATGGTCAACTGACATAACATAGTCTGCAAAGACTATGTTCTACGTGCTATTTTGCTGAGTGGCTTTTGGGATCTTGAAAGCTCAATTCACTCAATTCACAATAAAAAGTTAAAAAAGAAAGAAAGAAAGAAAAAAGTCCATGGTTAATGTATCAAAAGGACTCCTGGTTAGTGGTAAGATAATCACTGAACTATTAACCACAAGGTTGGTGGTTGAAACTGACTCAACAGCATTTAAAAACAACAACAAATGTATCAAACACCACTCTCTCCCAATCCCTATACCCACATCACCCTCAGCAATGATCTGGTCTCCCATCTCTTCAAGAAACCAGAAGTCTCAGACCTGAATGCCCTCAACTTCCTTACATGACTACTTCAAATCGGTCTAGATCGATCTTACACCTTCTCCTAATACTCCTTATCTTCACATGCAGAAAAAGATGAGAGATAAGAATTGAAGAGGCTTGGAATCAATTAATCCAATGGACTAATGAAAAATGTGATCATCAATTTCCATGACTCTGAAACCAGCAGAAATAGATGGTGCCTTGCTACTATGGCTAACTTCTCTGAAAGGGATCATGGTAGAGTCCTGTATAGAGTAGGGGAAAATGTAGAGCAAAACTCAAAATTTAAAAAAAAGAAAAATAGAAAGACCAGGTTTACTGGCCAGAAAGAGACTGAAGAAACCTAAGACTATGGCCCTCAACTATACTTCAGGTCTAGAAAAGAACTCACCATCGTGGCCCAATTTTCAGTCACGTAGTAAATGCATTTGGGTGGGAACAACAACTCTAGTAAGGTATGCTCACCATGGAATGGTCAATCATTCAGAATCAGGAAGGCAACATTTTCCAGAGGACAAAGTTGAGAAGGGATAGGAAGATTGGTGGAATGCAAGCCAGAACCACAGGAAGGAAGGATAGCTGTTGTTGCATGGAGGGTACTGCAATCATTGCAATGAAACAAAGTATATGATTGATTGAATGTAAAACTGACAATCTTATCTGTAAAACTTCATTCAATTCACAATAAAAAGTTGAAGAAAAAAGTTCACGGATAATATGTCAAACGGACTCCTGGTTGGCTACAGGATAATCGCTGGACTGCTAACCACAAAGTTAGTGGTTCTCACTGACTGGACAGCACTTTAAAATAACAACACATCATCAAACACCATTCCCTCCCAACCCATACCCCCTCCTGCCCCTCAAAAATGAACTGGCCTTCCAGATGGAAGACTTGAAGAAACCAGAAGCCTGAAACCTGAATGCCCTCAACTTCCTACGTGACTACTTCAAATTTGTCTTGATGGATCCCACCCCTTCTCCTAATACCCATTATCTTATTTGCAAACCTCTGTCTCCTTTGAGAATTCTATTTGTTGTTTGTTAGGTGTCATCAAGTGGGTTCTGAATCATATCAACCTTATGCACAACATATGCTTGAGCCCACTGTTGCTGTCACTATGCCAATCCATCTCATTGGGGATCTTCCTCTTTTTCACTGACCTTCCACTTTACCATGATGTCCTTCTCCAAGGACAGGTCCCTCCTGATAATATGAAGTATGAGAGACAAAGTCTGGTCATCTTGGCTTCTAAGGACTTTCTGGTTGTACTTCTTCCAATACAGATTTGTTTGTTCTTCTGCCAGACCATGATACTTCTAATATTCTTCTCCAACACCATAATTGAAATGCAATGATTCTTGTACAATCTTCCTTAGACATTGTACCACTTTCACATTCACTAGAGGCTACTGAAAACACCATGGCTTGGGTCAGGCACACCTTAGTTCTCAAACTGACAGTTTTGCTCTTGAACACTTAAAAAAAAAGTCTTGTCCCACAGGTTTGCCTAATGCAATATGTAGTTTGATTGATGTCTTGACTGCTGCTTCCATGACTGTTGATGGTGAATTCAAGTAAAATGAAGTCCTGGCAACTTCAATCTTTTCTCCATTTATCATAATGAGGACCATTTACCAGCGGTGAGAATTTTAATTTTCTTTACATTAAGGTGCAATCCATACTGAAGGCTGTGGTCTTTGATCCTCATCAGTAAGCATTTTAAGTCCTCTCCACTTTCAACAATAACTTGATCTAACAATGGTTTATTCTCTCACCCATCTGTCAGGGGAGGTTTGTGTTATGATGTTATACAGGGTTCTGGAAAGCTTCAGTTCATGTTTCAAAATATACTTGGAACAATTTCATAACTGATATCCCAAGGCTTGTGCTACCAAAGAATGCATCTAAAATAAAAAAATTTTAAAGTCACTCTCTTAGCCATCTTCCTTAGGTTTCAGTCATTTGACAAAACTTGTCAGTAACCAAAAATTTTTTATAAAGCTTTTATTTTCATAATGAACTGTGATCATTTATTTGATTGCTAAATGCATGTGTATGTATGTATGTGTAGGGGAGAAGTTATGTCCAAAAGAATGCCATCTATACAGTGTTCAGAAAAGCAATTTTGAGGAATAATTTAAGAATTCAATGGTAGGGGAATGAATAAGAAACCAGAAACTCTCCACAAGACAGAATACTATTCTGACCTCAAAATAATACTTGTAAGAGTTTGTAATAAAATAGCTTAAATATTTATGCTATGTGAGAAAAGGCAGGACTTTTTACTCAAAATAATACATAATACAAAAGGACACAGTATGATTATGATAAAACTTTATATAGAGAAAACAGTGGAAGGAAATGCATCGAATGTTGACAACAGTTGTCTGGTCTTAAAAATAGGAAGTCCTTTGCCTCCACTATTCCATTTTTGTAAAATATTATATAAAAATATATTCATTTTATAATAAAAATGAAACAATCCAGTCTGAAACTCTCATGTACTCACATGTTTGAGTTAAAGAACATATCAAGCAACTTAGCATCTTTGGCTGTTCTTATCTCCCTCTCCCTTGCATGGTGCCTACAAGGTATTTGCTCTCAAATCCCCATTTTTGTGCTCTTCTTTAAATTTATTCTAGAAGCAACTCCACTTGGAAGGTTCTTCCCCCACTGAATTTATTCTGCCAAATTCAGCTTCAAAGTCACTTCTATGGAAACGTTTAGAATCTGAACTGAGGGCCATTTGATTCCTGCTGCCCAGATGTTCTTCACTTGTCTCAGTGTGATACCATCAACACTCTTTTGTTCCCTGAGTTAAGTCAAAGCTGTGGGGAGGGTCTGTCATAGCCATTAGTGTAGCACCAGGACACATCCAGTACCTGACCCCAGTTGGTACCCTGTAAATGTTCATGAATGAATAAATCCTCACTTACCTTCATGAGTCCATCAGCAGCTTTCAGT